CCTCCAGCCTCCCTGCCTCCCTGCCTCCCAGCCTCCCAGCCTCCAGCCTCCAGCCTCCCAGCCTCCCTGCCTCCCAGCCTCCAGCCTCCAGCCTCCCAGCCTCCCTGCCTCCCAGCCTCCAGCCTCCAGCCTCCCGGCCTCCCTGCCTCCCAGCCTCCCAGCCTCCCTGCCTCCCGGCCTCCCAGCCTCCCTGCCTCCAGCCTTCCAGCCTCCCAGCCTCCCTGCCTCCCGGCCTCCAGCCTCCCTGCCTCCCAGCCTCCAGCCTCCCAGCCTCCAGCCTCCCTGCCTCCGTGTCTCATGCCCCGGTGGCCACAGTCTGCTTCACGTCCCTGCAGATCCGTGTACCAGCTCCTGAACTTTATGAGCGCTGCATCGTACCGCGTGTGCTCTGGGTCTGCCCTGACCCGTTCACTCGGCGTAACTGTCCAGCGACTCTCCCGTGTTGTGTGTACCATCCGTCTCCACTGTGTGGGTGCACCGTGCCCGGCTTACCCACCTGCCCACGGACATTGGGGCTGTTTATGTTGTTTTCACTTCCAGGCTGTGTGAATAAAGCTGCTGTGGACGTCTGCGGACGAGTCCTCGTGTGAATTTGTGCTTTCCCTCCTGTGGGCTAATTGCCTGGGAGCCCAGTGGCCGTCGCGGGGCAGGTGGTGTGGGACTCAGTGATTGTCCCCTCTGATGTCTCCTGGGCTGAGGGCCGCAGCTGTCCCGCCTGCTGACCTGGACTTGGACGGCTACCTTTCTCGTTCAGCCGGCCTGGGAGCTGTGTGGCTTGGTGGGGTCGTGGATAAGGCATTTGGCTGCTAAGCAGGAGGTTGGGGGCTTGAACCCAGCAGCTGCTCCCTGTTTCTGTAAAGACGGGCAGCCTTGGAAGCCCGACTCGCTGGCAGTGGGGGTGGATTTGGGCTCTGGTGTGTGGTGTCACCTCGAGCCTTAGTTCAATAGCGAGGATCCGGGTGTAAGCCTCTCTGCTCCTCCGTGTTCTCTCCCTGGTCTGTCTGTCTGTCTGTTTCGTTCCCCTCTCTGTTTGGGTGGTTCGTTGCGCTCCACGGCTGTCGGAGGGCTCTCTGCGCTCTTGCTACAAGCCCTGCGTGGAGATGTTTGCTTCTGGGCTGCGGGTTATCTTGCACCCTCTTATGGCGTCATTTGAACACGAGGGTTTCGATTTTGATGGACAGGTATGCGTCGCGTAGCTTCCATTCAGACCACATCCAACCACATATACGCCCGGGGTCCTGTCAAGTTTTACTGACTGATTTGTTTTGTTTATTGTTTCTCTGGAATTGTTTTACAGGCCTCAGACTTGCAGCTTGGGACACAGGTGGGGTACCGGCGGGGGGTGGGTCCTGGCAGGGGTCGGGGGCAGAGGGCCGTATACATGTGCGCTGGAGGGGGACCCTCGCCAATCCCAGAGCCTTCTCTGCGCAGCTCTGTGCCCCTCGGTGCTCTGCCCTGCGGCCTCCAGCTGCCTTGTTCTCTCGCGCCGTCTCCTCACCTCAGTCGGCCGGCTTTGCCTCAGTTTCCCCACCTTGTGCCGTAGCCCGGAGTGTCCCAGGCAGCGATCTCGCGGGGTCACTGCTCTTCCTTGCCGGGTGCTAGCGTCTGGAGCACGGTGGTTTCTGTATGTCGTCTCTCGCCCGCCTTTACTTTCCTGTTGTTTCCAGGCTGCAGGGAACTCGCTCCCTGGTACCCAGGCTTGGCCAGAAGCCCCGTTTTGGGAAGGAAAGTGTGTGTGTTGTGTGTTGTGTGTGTGTGTGTGTGTGGTGTGTGTGTTCTCATGCATCTGAGAAGGCGCCCCGGTGGCAGCGGTTAAGGTCTCTCCTGCCGAGCGGAAGATTGGTGGTTCAAAGCCCCACAGCTCCACGGGAGCAGACCTAAAGACGGCAGTCTGCTTCCCTAAAGATGACAGCCCCGGAAACGCTGTGGGGCGTCGCGCTCATCCCACGGGGTTACCCCGAGTCAGGGCCAACTCGATGACCCTCAGCAGCCGCACATGTGGGAAAATGTCTGAAAAATGTAAACCAAACCATTAACGCTGATGAGTGTCGTCCTCAGAGATGTCATTGTATGTGGGTTTTTTTTTTTAAATTTAAATGTTTGATGTTTCTATAAAACAAACCAGTTGTTGTTGACTCCGTTCCCGCCCCATGGGGCTCGTGTGTTTACGGCAGGTGTGAATTCCTGGGTGATAGGAAATGATCAGAAACGTGGCAAATGGAAGAAGACGCTGCGAAGGGATGAGAAACTCAGCACACTGGAAAACACGCACACGCGCACACGCACAAACACGCACACGCACACACAAACGCGTGCGCACACACAAACGCGCACACATGCATGCACACGCACACAAACGCACATGCACACATGCATGCACACACAAACGCACACGCACACATGCAAACACACGCACAAACGCACACGCACACGCACACACACACACGCTTGGCTCAGAAGGCCCGAGTGGCACTTTGCGTGGTACTAGCGCCTCCCACGCTGTCCGCCCACAGCAAGTGCTGAAACACGTCGACTGATGGTGGCTAGAGGCCTGGCCCGGGCATCATGTCAGCCAGGCACGCTGCCCCGCGTTTGCTCTCTGCCAGTAGGACGGGTGCAAAGGGCTGTGGGGAGCGGGTGGCCGCGTTGAGCTGTGAGTCTGGGGACCACATGGAGTCGGGCCGCCTTGAGCTGTTCCTTTGCTTTCTCATAATGCAAGAGTGGGGTGGTAGTGATTGAATCATGTGCCCCAAAATCGGTGTTGGAGTCCTAACCCCTGCAGCTGTGCATGCGATCTCTGTTATGAACATGGCCCCATCAAGGTGGGGTGTGTCTTAAGTTCACTGCTCACCTGCGGGATTTAGAAAGACCAGAGTAGATGGGGCTGCACGGGGCAGGGGTGGGGATCTAGGGTGGGCACATCACCAGGGAATCAGGGAATGCCGGGCCTCCAGGAATGGCGGGCCATTGTCCCTCAGAGCCCCTAGGGAGCGCCTCCCCTAGACCTTACCGGATGCCGCAGAGTCTGTCCCCTGTCGCAGCAGCCCTGGAGGACAGAGTAGAACCTCCCCGGAGGGTTCCCCAGGCTGTAATCTTTGCCAGAGCACATCGCCACGTCTTTCCCAAGCACGGTGTCGGGCGGATTCTAACCACTGACCTTCCAGTTAACAGCCAAGGCCTTAACCTTTGCCCCAGCAGGACTCCCTGTTCCCTAGAAGACGTGCTCTGAACCATGAGAAAATACATTTCTGTTCTTTGCAACCACTCCCTCCAGTGTTTCTGTTACAGCACCACTGGGTAAACCAAGGCAGGGAGGGCCCACCCTTGGCCCTTGCCCCTCGCCCCTTCAACACGAGTTCTGTTGGCATGCTGCCTCTAGGTCTCTCTCCTCTTGAGTTAATATTTCCTCCAATAGATTTCCGCCGACGGGCACAGCCTGGACCCGTCGTCACCTCCCATCTCTGTGGCCACTCACAGCCCAGACCACACTGCAGACCCATCACCACCGGCCTGGGCTCCTAGTGCTGCTGGGGCAGAAGCGCCGCACGTGAGGGGCTGTGAGGAGGGGAAGTGTCTTTCTCACGGTTCAGGAGGCTGCAAATCTGAAGCCAGGGCACTAGCTGTAGCAAGAGGTCCGTCCTTGTCTGTTTCAGCATCTAGTAGCTGGCAGCCCTGGGCGGTCCTGGGCCTGTAGGCTCATCTGCCTCCGTCCTCCTCAGATGCTGCTGTTGCTAGGTCCCGTGGAGTCGTTTCCCGTTCATAGCGACCCCATGCACAGCAGAACAAAACACCGCCCAGTCCTGCACCAGCTCCATGATCCCTGCCACTCCTGAGCCCATCGCCGCAGCCACCGTGTCAGTCCATCTCGTTGAGGGCCTCCCCCTCTTTCGTCGACCCTCCACCCTACCAAGCATGACATCCTTCTCCAGGGAATGGTCCCTTCTGACAACATGACCAAAGTAGGTGAGACGAAGTCTGGCCATTCTTGCTTCCAAGGAGCATTCTGGCTGCACTTCCTCCAGGACGGATCTGTTAGTTCTCTTAGCAGTCCATGGTACTTTCAGCATTCTCCGCCAGCACCACAACTCAAAAGCATCAACTCTTCTTCGGTCTTCCTTATTCATTGTCCAGCTCTCACATGCATAGGAGGTGATTGAAAACACCATGGCTTGTGTCAGGCGCACCTTAGTCCTCAAGGAGGCATCTTTGCTCCTCAGCACTTGAAAGAGGTCCTTTGCAGCCGATTTGCCCAGTGCTGAACGTCGTCTGATGTCCTGACGGCTGCTTCCATTGGTGTTGATTGTAGAACCAAGTAATATGAAGTCTTTGACAACTTCAGTCTTTTCTCCATTTATCGTGATGCTGCTTATGGTTCCAGTTGTGAGAATTTTTGTTTTCTTTATATTGAGATGTAATCCATGCTGAAGGCTGCAGTCTTTAATCTTCATCGGTCAGTGCTTCAAGTCTTCCTCACTTTCAGCAAGCAAAGTTGTGTCGTCAGTATCGTAGGTTGTTAATGAGTCTTCCTGCAATCCTGATGCCATGTTCTTCTTCATATGGTCTGGCTTCTCAGGTTATCTGCTGAGCACACGGATTGAATCAGTAAAGGCTACAGCCCTGACGCACGCCCCTCCTGATTGTAGACCAGCGGCACCGTCCTCGGACAGTGGCTGTCTTTGCCCTGGGTCTGCTCCGTGCCTGTTGTTGCTAATTGCCGTCAAGTCAGTGCTGACTCATGGTGACTCCCTGTGTGCCAAGGAAAACTGTCCTCATCTGTCACAGGGGTCACTGGGAATAAACCCTGGGGTGCAGTCCCCGTCTGTCACACGGGGTCACTGTGTGTGAACCTTAGGGTGCAGTCCCTGTCTGTCACAGGGTCACTGTGAGTAAACCCTGTGGGGCAGTCCCCATCTGTCACAGGGGTCATTGAGTAAACCCTGGGGTGCAGTCCCCATCTGTCATGTGGGGGCTCTGTGAGTAAACCCTGGGGTGCAGTCCCCATCTGTCACAGGGGTCCCTGTGAGTAAACCCTGGGGCGCAGTCCTTGTCTGTCACACGGGGTCACTGTGTGTGAACCTTGGGGTGCAGTCCCCGTCTGTCACACGGGGTCACTGAGTAAACCCTGTGGGGCAGTCCCCGTCTGTCACACGGGGTCCCTGTGAATGGAACTTCCACTCGACAACACACAGCAACAGCCTGACTGGCCCTGACTCACAGGTGGTGGTGAGGATCGCTAGAAGGATGCGTGTGGACTGCTTTGCATTCATAGATGGTCAGTAAGTGCTTCTCCGCTGGTTTGGGTGCTGCGAGCCGCATTGGAGCCGGAGACAGCGAGGTCCTGGGTCTCATGATTCCGCCTCCCACTGGGGAAGGCAGACAATAAACAAGTAAAGGGACTAAGACTGACTAGGAAGAAACCTGCAGTGCACTTCTGGAAATCAGCCAGCAGAAGCTGTGTGGATCCCAATGGTGCAGTCTGCACCTGGGCATGGGGACAGTGCAGAACCTGGTGGCCTTTTGTTCCATGGTGAACGGATTGCTGCACCGGGGGCCAACTGACAACAGCTAGAACAGCCACAACAAGTCTGTGAGAATCCCAGTGTGCTCTCTGCCCTCCTGTCGCTCCTCTTCAGGTTCTCTCCTGAGTCCTGGCTGCTGGATGCCCTCTCCATCCCTTTCCCGAAGGACATCTCTTCTTCCCTCAGCTGACCTCGTGTGCTGCTTCCGCCTCCTGAGACCGTCTTTCTCTTCGGTCCACAGCTCCCCTGTGCCTCCCTCTCCACTTGTTAACTCTGTCTGTGCCTCGCTCGTGGTACCTTCAGTTCCATTCCCCGGTTCCCACTTCACACGTCCCTCACTCCCAGGTTGTGATCCACACATATTTACATTTTCTGCTCTTTTGTGTTTTTTTCCAGATTGGGAGATTAGACCTGAAATGAAAGACTCAGATCCAAAGGAGAACATTTCAGAAGACAAGCAGTCCTGTGTGGTGGCCACAGAGGTGCCTGCAAGGAATGGTGGCTGGGGTCCCACCCTAGAAAGAGCATGGAAACGAGGTGACTGGCTGGAGAGGCAGCAGGAAGGACATGCAGACACCTGTCTAGAGCCAGGGGAGGTTTCCCATGAGAACAAGCTCACTGGGGAGTTAGTCTCCAAATATAATGAATTTAAGGCTGTTTTTAACCAAAGCTCGAACCTAGTTCCGCCAAGGTTGGAGGATCCAACGGAAAAAGGGACCCTTGCGTTTGTGATGCGTGGAAAGCACTTCTCAAATAACTCAGACTTAAATCAGCCTCCCACACTATCTGTAGAGAAAAAATCCTATGACTGCAGTGAGTGTGGCAAGGCATTCAGCCGAAATTCGTCCCTGATCAAACACCAGCGGATTCACACAGGAGAGAAACCCTTCGAATGCGACATCTGTGGGAAGCACTTCATCGAACGTTCATCTCTCACCATCCACCAGAGGGTTCACACTGGCGAGAAGCCCTACAAGTGTAGCGACTGCGGGAAAGCCTTCAGCCAGCGTATGAATCTCATCGTACACCAGAGGACCCACACTGGAGAGAAACCATACATATGCAGCGTGTGTGGGAAAGCCTTCCGGAAGACCTCCTCCCGCACCCAGCATGAAAGGATCCACACGGGAGAGAAGCCCTACACATGTGGCGACTGTGGGAAAGCCTTCAGCCAGAATATGCACCTCATAGTGCACCAGAGGACGCACACGGGGGAGAAGCCCTACGTGTGTGGTGAGTGTGGGCGAGCCTTCAGCCAGAACATGCATCTGACCGAGCATCAGAGGACACACACCGGGGAGAAGCCGTACGAGTGTAAGGAATGTGGGAAAGCCTTCAATAAGAGCTCGTCCCTCACACTCCACCAGAGAAACCACACTGGGGAGAAGCCCTATGTGTGCAATGAGTGTGGAAAAGCCTTCAGCCAGAGTTCATACCTCATCCAGCACCAAAGGTTTCATATCGGGGTGAAGCCCTTTGAATGCAACGAGTGTGGGAAGGCGTTCAGCAAGAACTCGTCCCTCACTCAGCATCAGCGGATCCACACAGGGGAGAAGCCCTACGAGTGCTACATTTGCAAGAAGCACTTCACGGGCCGCTCCTCTCTCATTGTACATCAGATCGTCCACACTGGGGAGAAGCCCTACAAATGTGGTGAGTGTGGGAAAGCCTTCAGCCAGAGCGCCTACCTCATCGAGCACCAGCGGATCCACACCGGAGAGAAGCCCTACAGATGCAGCGAGTGTGGGAGGTCCTTCATCAAGAACTCTTCACTGACAGTCCACCAGAGAATCCACACAGGAGAGAAACCTTATAAGTGCAGCGAATGTGGAAAAACCTTCAGCCGGAACACGAACCTCACTCGACACCTGAGGATTCACACCTAGGAGAAGCGTGGGGAGAGCTTCCATGGGGCATTTTGCTTCCGAGTTTACACTGTGCTTGTTAGTCTCATCATGACAACCGCACCTGTGTCAGGGTAGAACTGCCCGTGGGCTTTTCAGTGGTTGTGATCGTACTGAAAATAGACCACCAGGCCTTTCTTCCGCAGGACTGCTGGGTGGCTTTTTTTAGTTTAGCAGTGACCAGAGGGCCTAAGGATCGCTGGTTAATGGCACTGCTGTGAGTGGTCATCCCATTGGAGCACATAGGTAACTTTGTCTCAGAGAAGTCACACCCCTGGTGGAGTCTGAGGAATGTGGGGAAAGCCAGCAGTCCACCCACACTCCTTCCTTACAGAGAGTCAGGGTCCACGGGAGAGCAAGCCCATGGGTTCTAGCATATTCGGGAACAGGTTAAGGGTCATTGTAGGCAGTAATGGGTGGAACAAGCAGTTTGTCCTCACCTAGTGACCTGGCTCATAGTGACCCCACGTGTGCAGAATAGAACTGCCCAATAGGATTTTCAAGGCTGTGGCCTTTCAGAAGCAGGTCACCAGGCCTTCCTTCCAAGGAGCCTCTGGAGGGGTCCATGCTGCTAATCTTTTGGCCAGTTGTCAAGTGCTGAACTGTTCACTCCACTAGGAGTTGGAATCGACCCAGTGGCACCAAACAACAACAAATAACCTAAAGGTTGGTGGTTCGGACCCACCCAGTGGTGCCGCAGAAGAAAGGCCTCACGATCTGCTTGATAAAGATCACAGCCAAGGAGAGCTTACGGGGCTCAGTTCCGCCCTGTACACGTGGCATCCCCACGAGTGGGATCGACCGGACGGTCAGTTCTGCTCTGTGGCATGGCGTTGCCGTGAGTGGGATTGACTGGATGGTGCCGGGCTTGGTTTTGGAAAGTGAGAACAGGAGTTCTGTAACAGGAGCAGAGGGCATCTGAGTCCTGGACCCAGCTGTGAGTATAGTGTTGTACATGTGCCTGGACAGATCTCTCTGGGCAAGGGGAGTGCACTCAGCAAATGGACACGCGTTGTCACCTGTACCCAGGAGTCCAGATGTCTCTTTTGTCACCACCTGTGAATGTCCTCAGTGGGTTATGAACTAGAGGGCCTTCGGCTCTCCCCACATCCCAGCCCCTGTGTGCTCCTACAGCACACTCAGACCCACCAAGCCACCAAGTGGTGGAGGCGTTAAGTCTCCTGTGGAAAAAACCAGATTTTTCAGTTAGCAAGTAACGATTGCTTCAAATGCCAAAGTTTCTTACCATGCCATGTTGCTAATTTTTGAAAATGAAACTTTTAATTAGAGGAGGCCATGATGTAGAGGAGCCCTGGTGGCACAGTGGTGGAACACCTGGCTGCTAACTGAAAGGTCGGCAGTTTGAACCCAGCCAGCAGCTCCATGGGAGAAAACACCTGGCTGTCTGCTTCCGTAAAGATCACAGCTTGGGAAACCCTACAAGGCCATTCTGCTCCGTCACCACATCAGAATCAGCTTGACGGTACACAGCAACGTCGCTGAAGCCAATCGCAGGCATGAGAGGGATGGGGACTTAATTTCCCATCACAGTCATTTGTAGGGACAGTGGGAAAGAGAGAGAAAACAAACACCGACAAGTTTGATACTCAGGTTTGAATCCGTATTGGGCTTAACAGAGAGTCTGAGTGGCACACAGCTAAATACGTGACTTCTCCCCAGAAGGTCGCTGGTTCAAACCCACCCAGTGCAGGCTCAGAAAAGTGCCTGGAGATGCGCTTCCGAAAGGTCCCGGCCTTGAATGCCTCTGGAGCACAGTTCTCTGCACACGTGGGGGCGCCAGGAGTCGGGGTCCGTGGTGACTGGTTCTGTGGGGTCTGTGCATACGCACCACGAGCCCAGGTCCTGCTGTCTGCTTTTCAGGGATTAACTCGAAAGTCAAAGTTAGCTCCACGGCTGCGTGAAGGGTTGTCTGCGGCTCTGTGTGTACATACAGCTTTTCCCCCAGTCTCTTTCTCTGTGGCCTCTTGCCCCCCTTTTATTTCAACATTTGATGCTATTTTTGGTGCCATGAAGTCGATTCCAACTCATCATGACCCCAGGTGACAGAGCAGGGCCGCCCCGTAGCGTTTCCCAAGCTGTAATATTTATGGGGGCAGATTGCCTGGCTTTTCTCCCACAGAGCTGCCGGCTGGGTTTGAACCACCGACCTTCTAGTTAGCAGCCAAGTGCTTAATGCTTGTGCCACTGGGGCTCCTTACATTTGATGCTACTTGTTGCTAACCTGTCCTGGTGTTCCAGACTTCCACACTTCCTGACACTGGTGTCCATGAGGAATAAATGATTCATTTTGTATCATGTATATCAATAAGCACAGTTTGTGTAGTGAGCAGGAAAAACAGCCACTCAGGCATGTACATACAGTGACAGTTCTTTGAATGTCTAGCCCTTGGGTGGGTGTCGGGGGGTTTGATCAGGGCGCTCATCCTCAGAGCCATAGGCCTGGTTCTCTGTGATTCTCCTGCTTCCTCCCTCGTGGAATCCCTCTGGTTTCCAGCCGCTCCTGCCTGTGTGTTTTCTCAAGTCACACGCAGACAGAGTGAGACTTCTCCCAGTTGTTGACAACAAGCCCTCAGCTTCATTCTCTTGGACTCCCCCATGGCGTGGCCAAGGAAGTACCGCATGCTGATTGGCTCAGGCCTGGGTCTTGTTCTCATGCCTGAAATAGTAGCAGCTGCAAAGGGTGTGAGCTTGACAGCCGAGAGGAGCCAAAAACCACTGCAAGCCATGATCGGGGGGTGGATTCAGTCCCCCCGCCCCAAATCACAACATGGAAGTGGCGTGACGCAGGGAGACCCCCATCCACACCGACACCCCAAGGCCCTCTGGCAGGTTTGCGGTCGGGTGGTCGTGGTTTGTCTTCGAGAAAGTGACTCGTCATCGGAAGGATGGCGTTTCCTTTGGGAGGTCCCCGCCTCGTCCTGGTCACCAGGAGGACCCTGGGTCTTGTGTGCACCCCCTTAGCCCAGCCAAGAGGTGGGGCAGGGCAGCTTGGGTCCTCGGTCATGGGCTGGGTGGTGACTCCCCAGGATAGGACCAGCGGCGGTGGGAGCAGCCGGGAGGCTCCCGCTCACGTCAGCCTGCACCTGCGAGGCTAGGCGCCTCTCTCCCCACTCGTGTCTTCCTGTCGGATGGCGGAAAACAACGAAACCAGCAACGCTCGCCCGCAGCGTGTGGGGGCAGCGGGCAGGGCAGGGAGGGGGGACTTTGGCAGGGACCGATGCCCACAGTGGCCCGAGCAGAAGCCCTGTGGCAGGTGGAGGTTGAAAGAGGACTGGGCCCTGATGCGTAAGCCTGTGGGTCTCCCCTCGCCTCCCCGGAGAAGTGGGGCCAGTGCCACCCCAGAGTTGATGGTGGGTCAGGTGAAGGCCACGCCACTGTAAGTGGGGCCAGCGCCAGCCAGCCTCTCTCGCGCCCGGTCTGTCCGCCCACCCCTTCCGCTCTGGGTCTCTGCTCCGTTTCTCTTTTCTCTCTGCCTGCGTCTCTGTTCTGCCTCCCTCCCTCCC